TTCTTGTTGAGAGTTCTGACAGTGCTCAGATAGAATTGCCTTGGTTTCTTCCCCCTGGCATGTTGCTGCTCATCAGATGATTTGTTAAAAAATGTAAAAATGATCTTGGAAAATCATAAGTAGACACGTTTCCAGTGCTGGAGGAGGTAAAATGATTACAAAGCAACGTAAAGAAGGAAAGAGCAGGAGCATTTCTTCAGAAGCAGGAAGCAAAAAACATAACATGTCTTAAATCTCACATTATTTTTGGAATATAGAACTTTTAATGCTACACTTAGGAACATTCAAGGTAAATCTATACATCTCCATGGAGACACACAAGAAAGGTGCCATAATGCAGCTTTAACATGTCTGTTGGTGTCCTCTTTCTGCTCTCTGCTTTGTCTTATACTGTTACTGTAGGAATAATCCGTCTTTATTTATTCATAGGGAAATTCTATAGCATGGATTTACCAGGATTAAAAATGCAAAGGGCCATTGTAGTAAAACCACAGAATGGGGGTGGGGTGTGTCAGATGCCCTCCCATCCTCCTGTCTCCCTGTATCAGATGCCCTCCCATCCTCCAGTTTACGGGTTTCAGTTTGTTAGTATGCAAACTTTTGAAGAAAATAATAATAATGTGTGGATTGCTATGGTAATGGTCTTAATTCTGTCTTACCTGTGTGTCAGATGCCCTCCCAGTGTTCACTACACAAACCAGAACTCAAAAAAATTTTTTTTTTAAGTTGATGAACTTAAAAGTCACAATCTTCCAGAACTTAAAATATTGGATGTCTTGCTACTTGTACCTTTTGATAACAGCTAAACTAAATTTGCAGTTAGTTTTCAAACCACTGGAATCATTTAATACAATTTCAGTTTTATATGTAATCCATGACTTTTGTACACACAATCCAGTATATCTGCACACATTAGAGCAGGGGTCTCCAACCTGTAGCTCGGGAACTACCAGTAGCTTTCCAGCCCCTTCCGAGTAGCTCACCAAGGGACATCTGAAGTATATGTGTTGCGCTGAATAACTCAAACTGAATGATGACTTCCGGTCATTGCGCAATTCATACTGGGAAGGATTTTCTGAAAAAGTGAGCATCAAACCTCCATGTTTGTTTTCCCAGTGGGATGTGTCTATTGACAAAGTCGATCTTTTCAAGTCTTTTGAACCATATCACTTTTGTTTCTGGTTCTGATATAGTCATATTTTAGTTTTGGGATTCGGACATCGTAATTGTGTGGTTGTTGGATCCTAACAGCGGAAAACGACTCGAGAAATTTGTTTGCGAACTCCATAAATGCGAAAGGGAATCCGATGTGTGTGACTCACACCTCTGTTCAAACTGTTTCTCTTCCCAACGGAATTGAAAAATAGTGAAAGGTGAAGGTGATGGGCAGGATTGATCCACAGGAAGAACCAAAAAGGAAACATTTGACTGCTTAAATCATCCTGAGTTTGCAGTGAACATTTTGTATGTGGAGCGACAACAAAAAAAACTCCCGTTTGTTAAGTGAGACGTACAGAAGACAAACAGACTGAGCTGCACTTTCTTGTTCTTGTGGTTTTACAGAAACATCACGTCTTGGTCTCTCTGCAGTGGAAGGTGTTTCTTGGTGAACAGTTGGTGCCTTTCGCTTTGGCATTGACTTTTTAAATTCGTAACCGAGGTTGAGTGAGGGATTGGGGTTTTGCTTTGTTGTCGCTCGCTTGAAAAGATCGACTTTGTCAATAGACGCATCCCACTGGGAAAACAAACATGGAGGTTTGATGCTCACTTTTTCAGAAAATCCTTCCCAGTATGAAATGCACAATGACCTGAAGTCCAAGATTCTTGATGCGTGTATTGCATGACTATTACCAATGGTGCCTAGACTGGGATAATGGTTTATGTCGTACAGGCGTCTAACTGAAACCCCATCTAAAGCTTGTTCTCTTTCTTAGATACATTTCTTGTGACCCTTAAAATTTGTAGCTCTCTGACATTTTCGTTTTGTAAAAGTAGCTCAACAGATAAAAAAGGTTGGAGACCCCTGCATTAGAGTCCTCCTAAAAGTCAGGAGATTTACCAGTTGAGGAGTTATACTACATGCAGACTTACATACATAACACATTAGAGTATACACATAGTACATTATACACACATTATACACAAATATTATTTTTTAACTACTTACTTCTAGTAAGTTGTAGCTCATCTATGTTTTTAAGTTACCCTCACTTATACCCACAATAGTTTCCTTTAATCAAAAAATATTAATTAAAATTACTCAAAAAGAAGAACATGTTACAGCAACTTGACATAATTAAGTTAGTAGGACTATTTCTAAACTTTGAGTAAACACAACTTCATCTATTTCATGACTTTGAATGTTCAGGTTTACAGTGTTGTTGCTGTTTTTGCTGTTGGACAAAAGGGAAAACTGTTTGAATAAGTGAAGAGCACTTTCCGACTGTGAGGGTAGAGTTACTGCTTTGGGTTACTCACCACAAACAGACACTCCTATCACTCTGTCGCTCTCTCTCTCTCTCTCTCCCCCTCTTCTTATTCTACTATCTTTCCGTTATCGTTTCTTTCTCTCCATTTTGGGTTTGTCTGACTCTCCTCGTCACAGCCTGCACAGGTAAATGAACCACAACCGTCTTCATTTGAGTACATCAGATTATCTCAGCTTCCTCATTCTGAAACCCATGGATTTGTTTATTTGCCTTTAAGTGTGATGTCATGTCCTGGTCCAAGGTGCATTAGCTCAATGAAAATATTTTTACATTTTTACAATTTACTTGAAAGTGTTAAAAGAGTTAAGAGTGACAGAAAATGTACAGAGTAATCCTGACTCCTGTGTAATCTGTAATTACAAAATTATTTACATGATTTGAAACAATTAGTGGTTAAAAATATGCTTTTGTCTTTTTTCTAATTGTTTCTTGTTTGATGAAAAACAACGCGAGAAATCAGATGTGAAGTTTCTGGTTGGACTCAGAGACTGGACGTGTTTCTGAATCATGGATCTATAATAAGAACTGGACATGAAACTCCCCATCTGTCCCCTTTGCCTCCTCTGTCCCCTCTGTCTCATCTGTCCCCTCTGTCCCCTCTGTCTCATCTGTCCCCTCTGTCTCATCTGTCCCCTCTGTCTCATCTGTCCCCTCTGTCCCCTCTGTCTCATCTGTCTCATCTGTCCCCTCTGTCTCATCTGTCCTCTCTGTCCCTTCTGTCTCCTCTGTCCCCTCTGTCTCATTTGTCTCCTCTGTCCCCTCTGTCCCCTCTGTCTCATCTGTCTCCTCTGTCTCATCTGTCTCCTCTGTCTCATCTGTCTCCTCTGTCCCCTCTGTCCCTTCTGTCCCCCTCTGTCCCCCTCTGTCCCCTCTGTCTCCTCTGTCTCATTTGTCTCCTCTGTCTCCTCTGTCTCATTTGTCTCCTCTGTCCCCTCTGTCCCCTCTGTCTCATCTGTCTCCTCTGTCCCCTCTGTCCCTTCTGTCCCCCTCTGTCCCCTCTGTCCCTTCTGTCCCATCTGTCTCCTCTGTCCGTGCTGGGCTGACAGGGCATCCAGTTTTCATGAAAGCTGGATTTTGTAGAGATTCTTCTGCATTTTCACAACATTAACTTATTTTTTTTTCCTCAAAGCACCTTAAAGTCAGCTTTGTAAGATCTAGTCTAGCCCTGCTCTGAGCTCGCCCTAGTTCAGATCTAGCAGCATTGCTCTGATTGGTCAGAACTGATCACATCAGTTGATCTGAGGTCCTTTTAGGTGGAGATGCACAGCAGACTGAGGTCCTGTGTTGCTCTCTCGTCTGTGTTGGTTCATCCTCTTGTGAAGTGTCTTGTTTCTCCAGTGTGGCACTCACTGCAGTCTTCACTACACTGAATGGAGTAGAGCACATTGCTTTGTTTGGGGCTCAGTGTTTTGTCCTTTGGATGGACCAGTTTCTGTTTTAAAGTGTTTTTGGAAAAGTGGGATTTCATGTAGCCTGAAAATCCTCTGTCGTTTTTCAGAAACACCAGCCATGTAAGGAAGAGTTTACGCCCTTTCTCCTGGGTTCTGATTCTTGTTGTCTTGCTCATTGTTACAGCTCAGGCAAAGCCCTCTCTGTTTGTTGATCCTAAATGGGCTTTCAATAGAGCGGCCCATGGCTTCAATAAAAGCCACGGGCCACTCCTTTGAGGACAGTGAGCTACACATCTGAGCCAGAGAAAAGGATATTTTTGTAAAGAAAGACAATCCTTCCTTGAACAGAAATGGAGACCTCAGATATCATCTGCCTCCCATTTACAACTCCACCCTCAAACCTGAAACAAAGAGAACAACAGGTGAAGCCAGGTCAGGCTCCAAGGTGTGAAAACACTCATTATGGACCTGAATGATTCTGCTAATATGACCCCACAGCAAACAGACAGAAAGTGTAAACAAGTGTGTGTGTGTTAGTTTCAGAGGAGTTTCAGTGTAGTTAGCTCCTCCTGCAGCAGATAGAAGACCGTGTCCACCAGCGTCTGACCACAACTGAACAAGCAGCTTGGATGAGCTGAGACATGTTTTCAACCTAAATAAATGTTTATCCAGTTGACAAATGGAATTTGAGGGATACTCCACACATCTTGGCTCCAACTGATTTTATTGAAAAACTTTCTCCTCTCTCTCTCTGTAACTGTTGCTGTCCGACTCCTCATTTTAGTCTTAAAATGTTCATATTAACCTGCTCTACATGATCCTGGTGTTTTTATTTAGTTATTTTGTGCCTAAATCAAGATATGGACATTATAATGTAATAATGTATAATTATAATGTCCGGCCTTGATGAGCTTCATTTGACTGGAGCTGAATGCCGTGGGTGATGTCACATTCACTTTGTCCACTTCTTTACACAGTTGAAGGTTGACTCTGGAAGTGACGTCTTTACAAGCCTCATATTTGTTTCCTATTTGAATCCTTGTTTTCATATGTGTGTGTGTGTGTGTAAGGTGTGTCCAGGCTGTGTGTTTCATACGTGTTGTGTGTGTGTTTTGTTCAGGACATGGCTCGTCTGTGGAAGAAGAAGGCTTTGGCGTTCTTGGCTCTGCTCATCGCCGGCTGGATGTTTGCAGCTTCACGTCTGGGCTCGTCCTTCAGCGTGAGTCTTTACAGGAGACACACTGGGCTTTGGGCTGAAAATCTCTCAAGGACACAATAGTCAGGATTTAACTAACACAATAAATAACACTTTTATTTAGTTAAAGATGCATTGTGTAACTTTTTGGTTGGGGGTCCGTCACCTGCTTGTTTCGCCCGGAATGTTCCACAGTATGACTTCAAACAGCTCTACCTTACATTTATTCAATTACAGATGGTTTTTCAGCTCAAAAATATGTGAGCGGGGTCACCTCTCCACAGATCTGACCTGTAACTTGGGCAGGTTTTGTCTCCTCATGTGAAACATAACAGACAAAGCAATAACATCACCATGGAGACAAGCATTTGATACACCCTCCACCAGAAAAGTTACACAATGCACCTTTAAATGAAGGTTTAAACTGTCGGAAAAAAGTTTTCTTTGGGAGAAAATTGTCTCTGCATTTTTGTTGGTGGTTTCCGTGCTGATGACAACAGCAGAGTGATTCTGTTTGACAATCACCACAACTTCCTGTATTTCTGTACTTTTTTCACTGATGTAAAACTGTGATAAACATCGACCAGAGAAACCAGAGAAACCAGAGGAACCAGAGGAACCAGAGGAACCAGAGGAACCAGAGGAACCAGAGAAACCAGAGGGACCAGAGAAACCACAGGGACCAGAGAAACCAGACCAGAGACCGGACCAGAGAAACCACAGGGACCAGAGAAACCACAGGGACCAGAGAAACCACAGGGACCAGAGAGGACCAGAGGGACCAGAGGGACCAGAGAAACCACAGGGACCAGAGGGACTCTCCACAAAACCAGGACACAATGAGAAATATGATTTTCTGTCAGATGCACTTTAAGTACTGCAGGTTCCAGTTTGAACTTTGATTGTTGTCATGGAGACCAGAGACACTTTACTCTTCCATCATACGTACACTTTAAATACTGACATCATCAACATTTCCTGGGGGTGTGATGCTAAGTGGAGGCACTGCTCTGTCTGAGGCTCTGTTACTCAAGTTCGACTTTAATGTGAGCTTTGTTTAAACACAATCTGAGCAGAAAGAACTGATTTATCTGATTGATTGATTTGGGTCACATGTTTATTCTGACATTATTTCACAGACAGTCATATTTAACAAACACAGACCGAAAAGGTGTAGGCTGAAACTTGAGCTAATTATGATATGATTATGATGATATCTGACACATCTCTTCTCGACAGGAGAGCTGATTTGTGCTGTTAAAAAAGTCCCTTTCAAATAACATTAGTGTCACAAGCTAAGCAACATTAAGCAACATTTTTTTGGGTTTTTTTTTCAGTTAGTCACTTGCACCTTTTTGATTAGGATTTAACTCCTACTTTTGGCAGTGTTTGCTTAAGTGCACATTGTGTCACTGCTAAACTTTCCACCATGGACATACATGCAGAGCCCCCCAGGCGTGATGCTCCATCAATAGACTATTAATAACTGAATTATAGTCTGCTGAAGTGCATCTTCTGTTTTAGAATCTTTTGTTTTTCTTTTTCCATCACACTTAACCACCAGGAAACCACAAACTGCTGCTGTTTCCTGTTTCAGAGTTTTAGAAGTGACCTGGTTTATCGACAGTGATGAGGAAAGAGGTCATTTTTGTCCTGAGAATGGAACATTTTTACTATCGAATACTTCGTATCTGATGTTCGATGCTTTTGACAACCCTACTGCAAAATAAATCTGAGCTTTAAACAGGAGGTCCATATGGAAAAAAACTGGAAAAAACCTATAAGAATTGACCAGTGTCTTTGTAGTAAATCTTTATATAAGGTTAATATGTGTCATGTGTGGTTTACTCCTGGAAGTGTCCCCGTTTTGCATTTTTATCATACAACTATATTATGAAAAACTAGTAAACATAAAGCGAACATTTTGCATGACATTTACAGGTAATGTGCATGATAAACTACTTTTTCTGTGTATGTTCCATGTAATGTTTGTATTCTTTAATTATATGTTGCAGTTAAAAAAAAAAACTAAACAAAATCTGAGTCAGAAGTGGGATTTGAACCCTGCTTATCCATGTGGAAGTCCAGTGACTTACTAGTTGAGCTAAACAACTGATAACTGTCACTGGAACAATAGCAGCTGTTGAGGACAGTTACAAGTATCTCAATATCCCACAAGTAAATGGCAACTTCGAAGAGGAAACAAAGAAAGGAGCTACAGGATTTTGCAGAGTAAAAATCTTTTCACATCATGTATGTTCACTGTGACATCAGTGGAAAAGTGTGTGTCTTATGGTTTTTAAGGTTGTAATGCAAGATTTGTATTACTGTGTTTACACCCATGCTGCCCAACACACACACACACACACACACACACACACACGCACGCACACACACACACACACACACACAACACACACACAAACACATGCGTACACTCACACACACACATACAAACACACACACACATGCACACACACACACACACACACACACACACACACACACACACACACACACATACAAACACACACACACATGCACACACACACACACACACACACATACAAACGCACACACACAAACACACACACAAAACACACACACACATGCACACACACACACACATACAAACACACACACACACACACACACACACACACAAACACACACACACACACACACACACACACACTGTGATCATTTTCTTTCTCACACTCACACACACAACACAACAATCGAGTTTAAGGAAACAATCATCATTTCACTTGTTTTTCTCTGATTCTGTGGTAAAAATGACCTTTGTCCAACACTTGTGAGGACATTGTGTGTGGGATTAGTGTCATATTCAGCTCTTGCAGGTTACAAAGTTTTATATGTTTCATGCTGCACATACTTTCCAAAGATCTTATAACTGTTTTCACTGTCATATACAAATCTTGTAAGATTCAGATAAAACCTGTTCAAATGGTGTATGATTTGTCTATATCTTTTCCATATGGGGTAGACAAGAGACAACACTGCAAAGACAGAATAGAGAGGTGCTTGACGTGACTTCCATTTTTCTGCATAGTCACTTTAAATAATTTTCTCAGTAATGTTTGTCTTCCTCTAAAATTCAATTCAGCTATTCACAAATATACGTTCTAGATGTATTTGTATTTGTATTTTAGTCTTTAGTGACGTGATGTTTTGAAGGTCAAATGTATGTGATCGTTTCAGGAGCAGAACTCGTTTTCACCTCTGCAGCTGTTCAGTCACCTGCCCCAGGGCGAGTGGAGCGCCTCCCTGCCTCTCAATGTCTCCTACCAACTGCTCTTAGGCTCTAAACCCACACAACAGAGTAAGACAAACCAGGACCAAACCAGGACCAAACCAGGACCAAACCAGGACCAAACCAGGATTAAACAAGGACTAAACAAGGACTAAACCAGGACTAAACCAGGACTAAACCAGGACTAAACCAGGACTAAACCAGGACCAAACCAGGACCAAACCAGGACCAAACCAGGACCAAACCAGGACTAAACCAAGGACTAAACAAGGACTAAACAAGGACTAAACAAGGACTAAACCAGGACTAAACCAGGACTAAACCAGGACTAAACCAGGACTAAAAAAGGACTAAACCAGGACTCAATAAGGACTAAACCAGGATGAAACCAAGACTACACCAGGACTCAACAAGGCCTAAACAAAGACTCAACGGGGACTAAAGCAGGATTAAACCAGGACTGAACCAGGACTAAACGAAGACTCAACGGGGACTAAACCAGGACTGAACCAGGACTAAAGCAGGACCGAACCAGGACCAAACCAGGACTATACCAGGACCAAACAAGGACTAAACCAGGACTAAACCAGGACCAAACCAGGAATAAACCAGGACTAACCCAGGACCAAACCAGGACTAAACCAGGACCAAACAAGGACTAAACAAGGACTAAAAAAAAGGACTAAACAAGGACTGAACCAGAACTATACCAGAACTAAACCGGGACTAAACCAGGTATAAACTGGGACTAAACTAGGACTAAGCCAGGATTAAACCAGGACTGAACCAGGACTAAAGCAGAGCTAAATGAAGACTAAAGCAGGTCTAAACCAGGACTAAACCCTTGTCTTTTCAGAGTTCCTGGCTGTCGGTATTTCGTCCGTGCAGAGGAAGAAGGACCTGTACCTTGTGGCCACGCTGGAGTCGGTTTTCTCTCAGTCTTCGGAGACGGAGCGGGCGCAGATGGTGGTCGTGGTTCTGATCGCAGATTTTGACAATCGATGGAGACAATTCGTGATGGAGGAAATCCAAAAGAAATTCCCCTCGGAGCTGGAACACGGACAACTACTGCTCATCCACGTGCCCAAGGAATTCTACCCCCCACTCACAGGTACTCCTCTGAACGTGACAATGTTCCATAATGATGAGCTGTTTCACCGTTGTAGGGAGTATTATCTGTTACATGAGAGTGAGTTGTATAGTTGTAGGGAGTATTATCTATTACATAAGACTGAGTTGTTGTATACTTGTAGGGAGTATTATCTATTACATTGGGGTGAGTTGTTGTACAGTTGTAGGGAGTATTATCTGTTACATGAGAGTGAGTTATTGTACAGTTGTAGGGAGTATTATCTGTTACATAAGGGTGAGTTATTGTACAGTTGTAGGGAGTATTATCTGTTACATAAGGGTGAGTTATTGTACAGTTGTAGGGAGTATTATCTGTTATATAATTTTGAGTTTATGTAATGTATAGTTGTTGGGAGTATTATCTGTTATATAAGGGTGAGTTGCACAGTTGTAGGGATTATTATCTGTTACATAAAGTTGAATTGTTGTGCAGTTGTAGGGAGTATTATAAAAAATTTTTACCTTGGATTTCTTCTCTTCCAGGTCTGAAAAGAAACTACAACGACGCTGCCGACCGCGTGACGTTCCGATCCAAACAGAACGTGGATTACTCGTACCTGGTCCACTACAGCTCCACACTCGGACAATACTACCTCCAACTGGAAGACGACGTGTACTGCGCCAAGAATTTCCTCTCCAAAATCCAAAAGCACATCATGGACCAGAACAACAAGAAAACCACCTGGGCCACTCTGGAATTCTCCTCCCTCGGATACATCGGAAAGCTCTACAAATCCGCCGATCTGCCCGTCTTGGCGAGATTTCTGTTCCTGTTCTACCAAGAAATGCCTTGCGATTGGCTGCTGACGCGATTCCGTGACTTGCTGTCCCAAACGCAGCCGATCGTTTTACGGCCTTCGCTTTTCCAACACATGGGAACTATCTCTTCATTCCGAGGAACATACAATCACCTCAAAGATCTACATTTTGATGACGGATATTCGACTCTAGAGGCCAGTGTTTTTACCAATATGACGGTTTATCAAAAACACTTGGCACATTTTGCGTGGATACGTGGAGATGATTTCTTCTGGGCGCGATCTCCAGCTAATGGGGATTATTTAACGGTGGTGCTAAAAAATCCTGTTTTGTTGACTAAGATTTTGATAGAAACTGGGGACGGAGGTAAGGACATTCTGAAATCTGCTGTCGTGGAGATTGGGAAAGACGTTATAAGCACGAATAAAGACAAGAGGAGCTGTGAAGTGTTCGTGTTGGTTGGTAAAATGGAAAACGGGCAATTTGAGAAGCAAGATTTGGATAAAATACATAACTTCAGCGTCTCCTGTTTGCGAATCCGAGTTACTGCAGGACAATCGGACTGGATGATCGTCAAAAGGATCAGGGTCGGAACAAAACCAGACAACACCACAGCATTATAGCAAACTTGTTTACTTTAGTCTTTTGTCTTTAGAAACATTGAGTGTATAGGCGAGTTTCATTGTTGACAAAAGCGTGCGTTGCATGCTGGGAATTATTTTGGTCGGCGGCAAGAAACACTAATTCAACATGACGGACGGAGCGAGAAAACACGTAAAGGGTATTGATCCTGGTTATTTATCCACTCTAATGGCAGAGGATCCAAGACCATTTGACCAGAAATTGGTCATAAGCATCGACGGACGACAAATCACCCTTTTCAACCCGGACAAAAGGTGGACCAAACCAAATTTCTGGACAAAATCTCCAACTACCTGGACAAATATTCACTTGGGCGATATCCACAATGATTTGGTGGAAACTCCTGGGCCATTCACAGCAGAAAAGATGAAAACCTCCAAGAGTCTCGATGTGTTGTTGAACTTGTTGGAGTCCACGGTTTGTTAGGATCTTCTACGTTTGCTCTGTGAATGTTTGAAAGTCGTTTAATTCACCGTTAGTGGTTCTTTTCACTCAGAATACGAAAAAGACATTTTCCTTCTTCCGTGCTTTGTGCTTTTTGTGCATCCGATAATGCAGCAGGAATTTACCATTATCGGGGATAAATACGTGAGGTTACGCACTGTGTTTGACCGCTACAGTGTTTCTTGCCTCCGACCAAAATATTTCCCAGCATGCAATGCGGGCTTTTAATAACATTGACATCAGCTGAAACTCGCCTATAGGGTGCTCTGGATTATAAGGTCATTAAATGGTCTATTTTCAATCTTTTTTCACAAATAAACCACGTGGGACTTTAAAGGAAACCCAACAGTGTGATGGGTGAGTGGTTTTGTTTGTTTGTGGCGTTCACAGTGACTCTAGGCTTTGTTCAGTTGTGGCGTGTAGGGAGGGTGCTGTCTGGGACCACTGGATTGTCAGCGTGTTTGCAGTGACTCAGTTGTTCAGTCGTGTCTAGAAGTGGCACATTGCGCTCGCTTTTTCGGTTTGTTCCTCCGTTCCGTTCCTCGTCGGCGTGGAGTGATGAGCGTGGCTGCGGGTGTTTTTGGCTGCGCGGTCAGTGTCTGCTCCATCTGTGTTTGAGGCTTTGTACTTTACTGAAGTCGTGCTGGGACACCTGAGTGGATTGATGTATAGGGCACTTTGGATTGTGGGGCACGCAGTTGTAAGAGCGCCACCTATAGTGCAGAAAATACGGTACTTGACTCCTGTTTCCCGGTGTTATCCTGGTTATGAAAGTGTATATGATGCACTCAGAGAAACAGAATACTCATGTCCCTGTATGCATGTGCCATCAGAGTATCCTGGATGTTTAAAGTGACAACTATGGCAACTAAAAGTCCACTGAGGTTCACTTTATGTTATTAAGTTCTTTTTTCAGACCAAGACTTGATGAATGATGAATGACACACGGATTCTGTGGGACTGTTGCATTTTTCCACTGTTAATTTGGTCTCTTCCTGAAGCTGTGACAGTAGCCCTTAGTCTTTATATCTTCTTTATTTGTTGTTAGAAGTGCAAGTTGGCAAAGTTGTTAACATGTTTAGTTGTAGTTGTTGTTATTAGGTTCTTTTTTCAGACCAACAGTTTGTTTTTATCCAATCCAGTCCAATCCACTTTATTTCTGTAGCACATTTCACAAATAATAAAAATAAGAACAAAATCATAGAATGGAAATAAATCAATCAATCAATAAATAAAATTAATAAAACCAATAAAAACACATAAAAATAAATAAAATACACAGAGGATCACACAACTCACACAGTGTTAAAAGCCAGAGAATAAAAGTGTGTCTTAAGACGAGACTTAAAACTCTCCACTGTGGGGCTGTTGGGACGTGGGGGAGCAGAGTGTTCTAGAGTTTGGGGCCGACTACAGAGAAGGTCCTGTCCTCCCTGATTTTAAGTCTCGTCTTAGGCACCAAGAGCTGGAGTTGGCCCTCAGACCTCAGAGTGCGCTGGGGGGTATAAATTTGGATGAGGTCTGAGTCGTACTGTGGGGCCAGAACATTTAAAGCTTGAAAAACAAACAATAAAATCTTAAAATCAATTCTAAAAAGAACAGGAAGCCAGTGCAAAGACACAAGGACTGGGGTGATGTGCTCTCTTTTTGTTCCTGTTAAAAGTCGCGCTGCAGAGTTTTAGACAAACTGTAGTCAGTAAAGTGAGTTTTGTGAAATGCTGGAGTAAAGTGCGTTACAGTCGTCCAGGTGATTAAATAAAAGCGTGCATAACTTGTTCAAAAAGTTTAAAAGATAAAAAAGGTTTAACTTTAGATTAAAGCCGCAAATGACAAAAAAATTATTTTAAAACATTGTTGATCTGTTTGTCAAAATCATTGTCTAAGGTGATGCCGAGGTTGGTGACAGTGGGACGAACATAATTTTTCAGCTGCTGGCCCCAAACAGTATCACCTTAGTCTTATCTTCATTCAGTTTTAAAAAGTTTTGGGCCAACCAAGCCTTGACGTCAGATAGACAGTCGAGCAGGGGTGTCAGGGCTTTCATATGTGACAGTTTGTTCTGCTCCCTGTATTCTTCATCAGAGTCTCGTGATGTTGTTGTGACGTGTCGCTCAGATGATTTAAACAGGTTTTAGTGCTGTCTAACTACCACTGGACAGACTAAGGGCTACTGTCACAGCTTCAGGAAAAGACTAATTAAAAGTGGAAAAATACAACAGAGTCCGTGTGTCATTCGTTTGTTTGTTTTTCAATATAAAAGCAAAAAATAAGAAAACAAAAAGACAACAGTTTTCTTCATTATTTGTCTTTTCATTATTTGGTTTTTCAGTTTTTGGTTTTGTGTTTAAATGAATAATGGAAAAAATGGATAACGGACATTTTCTGTTTCCATGACTTAAACTACGATGCCGGAATAAACCGGGACTAAAACAGGACTGAACCGGGACTAAAACAGGACTAAACCAGGACTAAACCAGGACTAAACCAGGACTGAACCAGGACTGAATCAGGACTGAATCAGGACTGAATCAGGACTGAACCAGGACTGAACCAGGACTGAACCAGGACTGAATCAGGACTGAACCAGGACTGAACCAGGACTGAATCAGGACTGAACCAGGACTTAACCAGGACTGAATCAGGAGTGTCAGGACGGGCCCAGAGGTGCTCCCGCATAGACTGTCTGTTAATCAGGACTGAGACTGGGACAAGGACTGAGACTGGTTTAGTCCTGGTTTAGTCCTGCTTTAGTCCTGCTTTAGTCCTGTTTCAATCCATATGTGGCGCAAAAGTCCGGCATCACAGTTTAAGTCACGAAAACGGGGAAACGGCCGTTATGTTTTCTCCATTCTTCATTTAAACTCAAAATTGAAAAATGAAAAAATGAATGTTTTTTCATTTTGGTTTTGGAGACAAATAATGAAGAAAACACTTGTTTTTTTCATTTTCTTATTTTTGGTTTTATATTTAAAAATGAAAGAACGAAAGACACACAGATTTCACACTTTCAGTTTAGTTGAAGAGCAGCAGACAGACAGTTGGTCTGGAGGTAAAAGGAGCTTGTATTAGACAGTGAACTGCTTTATTTTGTTTTATTAATGTTCTGGTGTGAGGAAAGATGCCAAAGTTCTCTCTGGTTTTTTTGTTTTGTTTTGTTTTGTTTGGGCTACTGTGAGCCATAACCCGCGCCAAAAAGCAACACAAAACCAGCACAAAACCATCAGCGGCCTCATTTCAACCAAACAAAACCAGGACACTGCGATCGAGAAATCAGGATCATGTGTTTACATGGGCACATATAAAACCAAGAGAGTGAAAACCACGCTCAGGATCAGGATACGGGCTCATGTGAACACACTCTGGGCCTGGAGTGGAGCTGGGATCACATGGAGGGAGGAGCTTTGTTAACTCTTTGTTAGAGATTCACAATGAATGTTTTGGTGGATGGTTTGTCTTCTGCTTGTCTCCATGGAGATGCCGTCGCTTTGCTTAGATTGTTCCACAGTATGACATTAAACTGTGGGCACTTTAATCTGAGCTTTGTTTTAACACAATCTGCAGAACATTATGCCATAGAAATATAGACAGAGCATCCCCAACCTTGTGTTTTTATTGTTAATAAAAAATACCCTGAAAATATTGTCTCAGGATGAATATGTTTAAAGGGACAGTTCAGAATTTTGGACATAGGGCCTCATTTCCTCATGAGCCAGAGTACTGTAGATATGTGGAGACACTTGCAGAGGTCACTGGTGTTAGACTAGTGCATGTCAATGGTCATAGTTCTCCTGACACTAAAAACAGTCTTACCCACTCCACAAAACACCCCAAACAAATCTATTATTACACCAGACTGTCCATGTCAATGTGTGTGCTGAAGTAATACTAACCTTGCATCACATGAATCGTCGCATGTTGAGGGACTATTTTCTCAGCAGCAGTGGAGTCTTCCTCTGCTCTAGTTCGTTGTGGTGATGTGAACCTGGCCATGACTGGAACATTCTTCTTCCTGTGTGGCCATACCGTCCTGTCAAAGCCTGATCCTGTCAGATCTCAGAAGCTCAGCAGGGCAGGGCCTGGTTTGTACTTGGATGGAGACACTGGGAAAATCAGGAGCCACAGGGGGCACCAGTCAAAAAAACTGTTGTTGTGTCCTTAGGCAAGACACTTCACCCACATTGTCTAGTATGAAAGTGGTGTGTGTGTGTGTGTGTGAGAGTGATGGTGGTGGTCGGAGGGACCGATAGCACCGATTGGCATAGCTGCTGGGCTTCTGTCAGTCTGCCCCAGGGCAGCTGTGGCTACAATAGTAGCTTACCATCACCGGGTGTGGAGAAAAGGAATAATGAATCTATAAAAAAAAGCTTTGTAAAGCGTCTTTGTGACATATGTCTGTGAAAAGTGCTATATAAATAAAGACTTTCTTATTTACTTACTTACTCTATGTGTCGCCACGGCAACTGCAAGTAAACAAACTATTACAGAGCCAGTTGGTGCAGGTGATATCAGTCCACCTCTGCCGAGCTTTCACTGCTGCTCACACAGAAATCCTTCAAATGCAAAGTTAGTTTTATTTCTAAAATGATTCTATGGACACAGACATTGACATGGACAGTCTGGTGTAATAATAAATTTGTTTGGGGTGTTTTGTGGAGTGGGTAAGACTGTTTTTAGTGACTGGAGAACTATGACCATTGACATGCACTAGTCTAACACCAGCGACCTCTGCAAATACAACGACTGGATGGAAGATTTTAAAAAATGTCTCCATACGTCTCCAACACTCTGGATCACGAGGACATGAGGCCCTATGTCCAAAATTACAAAATGTCCCTTTAATGCCAGTCTGTGGATTATAATATGAGGCAGTAACATCTCCATGGAGACAAGGTCCAGTAATGACAGAAATATTCAACACTTCAGAAAATTGTTAGAAAACTGCATGACAGCATGACACTGCCCAATCCTACGAGTATGACAGACTCAGAAACTCAAACTGGAGAAGGAAGTGTGTACGTCACAGTGGGAGGTGAAAACAGGAATTACTCCAAATGCAACTTCAGAAGGTCAACAAGAAGAAACGACTATAAGATGGAAAGAAATCCATGTATCATTTGTTCATTTGCTTTTCAATATAAAACCAAAAGTTAGAAAAAAAACAAAAAAAAAAAACAATGATTTGTCTTCATTATTTGTCTCCAAAAACCATGCTTGGTGTGGTCCCGGTCCTGGTTCAGTCCTGGTTTAGTTCTGGTTCAGTCCTGGTTTAGTTCTGGTTCAGTCCTGGTTTAGTCCTGGTTTAGTCCTGGTTCAGTCCTGGTTTAGTCCTGGTTCAGTCCTGGTTTAGTCCTGGTTTAGTCCTGGTTCAGTCCTGGTTTAGTCCTGGTTTAGTCCTGGTTCAGTCCTGGTTCAGTCCTGGTTCAGTCCTGGTTTAGTCCTGGTTCAGTCCTGGTTTAGTCCTGGTTTAGTCCTGGTTTAGTCCTGGTTTAGTCCTGGTTTAGTCCTGGTTCAGTCCTGGTTTAGTCCTGGTTTAGTCCTGGTTTTAGTCCTGGTTTAGTCCTGGTTCAGTCCTGGTTTAGTCCTGGTTTAGTCCTGGTTCAGTCCTGGTTCAGTCCTGGTTTCGTCCGGCATCTCAGTCACTGCAGTCATGTAAATAGGAAACGGTCATTAGCCGTTTTTTCCATTCTTCATTTAAATACAAAATTGAAAAACAAATCTATATCTGTTTTTACATTTTGGTTTTAAAGACAAACAATGAAGAAAATAGTTGTATTCTTATTTTTGGTTTTATTTTGAAAAACGCATGAACGAATGACACACAGATTGAAACATCCTGTACAAGACACGATGAAAATGTGAAGAAAATGTCCTATTAGTATTGAAGTATATTTTTATATTGTTCTAAAGTTGTACATTTATTATACGTTTATTTTATGTGTTTGTTATAATAAAACTGCTCTTTTCACATTGGTCTGAAAATGCTGCTTTGTCTATTTCCACATTTGCCCCGTCTTTCAGGTTCTGTGATTAATGTGATAAACTTGAGGAGATTCAGACACAAAGATTCCACAGTGATCGGATCTAAACCAGGACTAAAACAGGTTTAAACCAGATCTAACCCAACCAGGACTGACCCAAGACTAAAACAGACCTAAACTAGATCTAAACCAGGTCTAAGCCAGGACTAAACCAGGACTAAACCAGGATTAAACCAGGGCTAAACCAGGGCTAAACCAGGACTAAACCAGGACTAAAACAGGACTAAAACAGGCCTAAACTAGATCTAAACTAGAACTAAATCAGGAATAACCACGACGAATCAAAACTAAATCTGTACTATAATGTGAGTTTAAATCAAGGTTTGAAGTAGGACTAAACCAGGTCTAAACCAGGTCTAAACCAGGACTAAACCAGGTCTAAACCAGGTCTAAACCAGGTCTAAACCAGCACTACACCAGTACTAAACCAGGTCTAAACCAGCACTACACCAGTACTAAACCAGGTCTAAACCAGGTCTAATCTAGGTCTAAACCAGCACTACACCAGAACTAAACCAGGTCTAAACCAGAACTAAACCAGGTCTAAACCAGAACTAAACCAGGGCTAAACCAGGTCTAAATCAGGTCTAAACCAGGTCTAAACCAGGTCTAAACCGGGACTAAAACAGGACTAAACCAGGGCTAAACCAGGTCTAAATCAGGTCTAAACCAGGTCTAAACCAGGTCTAAACCGGGACTAAAACAGGACTAAACCAGGACTAAACCAGGTCTATAGCAGGCCTATATCAGGTATTATTGTTGAATGTGTCTAAAGCAAACACCAGGCCTCAGTTCTATTCAAAGTGGATTTGTTTATTCGCACATGTTCACGTGGTGTGCAGGTTGAGCGTGCGGCGTGTTGACGGCAGAGCGTGGCCCTGTAGCGAGGAGCTTTTGGGTTGGAGTCCCCTCTCTCTCTGCTGCACTGGAGGGTCTTGGGTCTGGGTCTGTTGTCTTGGTTTGTTTAGTGTTCTCCAACTGCACAGCCTCTACTTTCTGAAAAAAACAAAACACGAGAGACAAATGAACGACGTGTTTGAAACATTCTTGTCTCCAAGGAAACTCAAATATCTCCAGGAAACAAATAGTAAATAGTGTCTTGCCCAAGAACACGAGGTTAAACTCCCTGTACCCATTTTTTCTCTTGACTTTGAACAAAATGTGCGTTACCCCAGTGCAGAGAGATCGTACAAACAGCTCAAGACGCCAAAGTAAGTCCTGACTGTCTTGTTACTGACATGGAGCAGATTTATGGAGTAGTTTAGACGACCATAACAAAGCTTCAATGAATTTAGTGCACTTCAAAAAAAAAAAAAAAAAACCAATATAAAAATCTAATCTTACAGAAATATCCAGAAGACCTGATCCATCGTGTTAACAAGTAAAACACGACTATGAACCAAACACATGCTTTTCCGTCACATTTTCTTTAACATTATCATTTATTTTGATACAACCATACATGATAAATTTTGTGTCTTCTTTGTCATTATTATTAGTTACTAATTTGTCATATTATTAGTTTGTATGACCATAAACGAAAACAAAAAAAACAAAAAAGTCCTTAGGACTAAAGCAGGACTAAAGCAGGTCTAATGCAGTCCTGCCTTAAAAGTGAATGAATGTTTAAAACGGTAAAAATATGGCGAGTTTAATCTGCACTCATGTTACTGCTGGAGTCAAACCATCAACCGTGGGAGTGTCCTGCTTTGTGTGCTGTGCACTGATAACACCACGTCCAGTGACGTTCACTAGATGTCCACAGATAAAGACTCTGTGTACATACTGTCTGTCACCATCCATGGACATGTTATTCTTTCACACCACATTATTACCTATGACACTTCTTTAGAATCCTTTATTTTACCTCATTTGGTGGGATTATACAGTTGTAAATATAAATAATAGTTTTACAATCAAGAAGCAATTTGTGAAGAAAAGTTGAAAACATGTTGAAAATTACAGAAGTAGAGTTTAACCAAAACTAAACTAGGACTAAACTAGGACTAGAACTAAACCAGGACTAAACTAGAAAAGCACTCAGAGAGCGCAGACCTCCACCAAGGACTACCCCCATTTTTAATATAAATTGCGATAAAATCAGTCTTCTGGATCAGATCCGGATCAGCCTTTGGAATATGAAAGAGGATCCCATTGTCCATCCCTGAGTCAGATTTCATGGGGTTTGGTCAATAATTAACTGAGATATTGAGAAACAAAATTTTTGGCCCCATTTACCACAATGATAACAAAAAATTCAAAGTGATCCAGAATCCAGGATTTCTTCTGGATCAACCCCAAAATGAAAACAGTTCTTCCTTTTCACATTTCCAACAAATCCTGAAAATTTCATCAAAATCGGTCCATAACTTTTTGAGTTATGTTGCTAACAGACAAATAAACAAACAAACAAACAAACAGACAAACAGACAAACGCGGGCAAAAACATAACCTCCTTGGCGGAGGTAACCAGGACTAAACCAGGACTAAACCAGGACTAAACCAGGACTAAACCAGGACTAAACCAGGACTAAACTAGGACTAAACCAGGACTAAACCAGGACTAAACCAGGTCTAAACCAGGACTACTGGAACTATAAGAACATTGTACCAAAAAAAGTAAAGGTCTTTTCTTAGAGTTTTATTTGTCATATCATTTGTGTGTACATTAGAGGAGTTTTGGCCAAGTGCACTGTATGGTTGCTAGGTAACACTTACGGAATTCACTTTTACAAACAGGAAGTATAATTTGAAACCTTAATAAATAGCCAAATTGGGAACTTTGATTTCTTCTCTTTTAGTTTGAATGAAATGAGTCTAATCTGCTGTAGGCACTTTAAAAGGGCACAGTGTAGATTACAAGTGGAGGGTCCCAAACCTTCTTGTTTCTATGGCGACGTTATGATTTTGCATTGGGGACAGGAAAGAGACTCCACCAAACCAAGTATTCTGAACTATGGGTTATGTTAAGAAACAATACCTGTGTCAGGCCACAGCATCCTGAAGGAACTTCACATCCCACACACTTTTCCAACTCCTCCCTCCAGAAGGAGCTTCAGAAGAATCCGGCAGGTTCAGGAACTGTTTTTTCCCCACAGCTGTTTCTTTACTGAACTCTATTCCCCACTGAACGCCCGTGTCCCCCACCATGTCCCCCACCTGTGTCCTCCACCTGTGTCCCCCACCATGTCCCCCACCTGTGTCCTCCACCTGTGTCCCCCCCACCTGTCCCCCACCTGTGTCCCCACCTGTGTCCCCCACCATGTCCCCCACCATGTCCCCCACCTGTGTCCTCCACCTGTGTCCCCACCATGTCCCCCACCTGTGTCCCCCACCTGTGTCCCCCACCATGTCCCCCACCTGTGTCCCCCACCATGTCCCCCACCTGTGTCCTCCACCTGTGTCCCCCACCATGTCCCCCACCTGTGTCCTCCACCTGTGTCCCCCACCATGTCCCCCACCTGTGTCCCCCACCTGTGTCCTCCACCTGTGTCCCCCACCATGTCCCCCACCATGTCCCCCACCACCATGTCCCCCACCTGTGTCCCCCACCTGTGTCCTCCACCTGTGTCCCCCACCATGTCCCCACCTGTGTCCCCCACCTGTGTCCCCCACCTGTGTCCTCCACCTGTGTCCCCCACCATGTCCCCCACCTGTGTCCTCCACCTGTGTCCCCCACCATGTCCCCCACCATGTCCCCCACCATGTCCCCCACCTGTGTCCCCCACCATGTCCCCACACCTGTGTCCCCCACCATGTCCCCCACCTGTGTCCCCACCGTGTGTCCCCCACCATGTCCCCCACCTGTGTCCCCCACCGTGTCCCCCACCATGTCCCCACCGTGTCCCCCCACCATGTCCCCCACCTGTGTCCTCCACCTGTGTCCCCCACCATGTCCCCCACCATGTGTCCCCCACCTGTGTCCCCCACCGTGTCCCCCCCACCATGTCCCCCACCTGTGTCCCCCACCGTGTCCCCCACCATGTCCCCACCTGTGTCCCCCACCGTGTCCCCCACCATGTGTCCCCCACCGTGTCCCCCACCATGTCCCCCACCTGTGTCCTCCACCTGTGTCCCCACCATGTCCCCCACCATGTCCCCCACCTGTGTCCCCCACCATGTCCCCCACCGTGTCCCCCACCATGTCCCCCACCTGTGTCCCCCACCGTGTCCCCCACCATGTCCCCCACCGTGTCCCCCACCACCTGTCCCCCACCGTGTCCCCACCGTGTCCCCCACCGTGTCCCCCACCACCCCCTCCCTCTTCATCTCCCCCATGGACACTGAATGTCCTCTGTCCAATCCCTCCATCCAAACACATGTATATATCACCAGTGCTGTTTATCTCTGTGTCTCATGTTGTTCATATCACACTTTACATTTATTTATTTACAGTGCACATGTTCATATATATGTCGTATATATTTATATTTTCTATAACAAACCCTGTGTATTTGTTTATAGTATGTTCTAGTTTTTCATGTAAACTGCATGATTGTTTACATCTGTTTATATCTGCCTCGTGTAGATTACATATAATCCGCTCTTGTTCATGCTGCTGTATTTATTTGTCTTTATACACTACAGTCTACGCTGTAACACACTGTATATTGTTTACACTGTACATATATACACACTGCACATTCTGTATTTATCACACTTGCTGCTCCTTGCACTTCTGATTAGATGCTATGCTACGTTTCGTTCAGTTTTTTTTTTTTTTTTTTTTTAATATATACATGTATAATGACAATAAAGCTGAATCTAATCTAATCTACATTCCCTGGGAGTGTGTTGCAAACTGTAGGCACCGCTCTGTCTCACGACTCTGAGATTTATTTGAATATAACCTGATAAGAAGGAGGTGATTTAGGTGGCTCAACATGTGATTTGTGGCTCAAACAAGTTTCTCTCACGGACATTTACAGCCCAAACAGGAGCACGAACGCTCAGACCGATCACAGGCTCCTAAAAACGTCCTCTTTAAATCACTTTTGTACTTTTCTTGAATTTTTAGATAATTTTAAAACTTATTTGACGGTGTTTGCAAATCTGTGCATTGTTTCTCCATGGTAACTGCTGAACATTGCACATAGACATACACATACAACATCCCCAGCGTGATGTCACTGCAAAGTATCAATAGGTGACAAAGTGAAACCTAAAAAGAGATGTTATTGCTTTGCCTACAATGTTCCACAGTATGGCTTTAAAGTATAATCTATCCCCATGCAAAACGAGACAGTTTCCAGGTCAGATCTGTGGAAATGTGAACTTTCTCACAGCAAGATTCTCAAGGTATTAACACCTGTGATTGTGCAGCTTTAAATCATGTACATCCATTTGAGTGAACAGTCTGGTTAAGTGATTTGTGAGGAGTTTTAGTTCCTCACACACATGTTTTCTGATTCGTCCTCACCTCCTGCTGCGGCTGCTCTCTGCTCCTCCTGCCCTCCTCCTCCTCCTCCTCTGTGCGGCCCTCTGTGCGTCTGGTGCCCCCTGGTGTCTGTGCGGTGTCAGTGATGAAGCCCCATGCTGTGAGGCGCTCCAGGCCCTGCTGGGAGCGCGCTGTGGGGCAGAAGCCGGGGGCAGGGATCCGAGACGGAAGGTCCCACGTGCCCTTAAAGTCCGGCCAAGAACTGTCCCTCTGCTGCAGACAGCAGTTTAACAACATGTGTCAAAGTCCTGGATTACATATCTTATCATTTTATTGCCTCTTTAAAAACAAACCTGGAGCTGTGTTGTTTCATTCACACATGTTTGAGTAACCCTGATTTATTAGGCTGCCCATGTCCATAACTGTGTGTAAATAAAGGCGGAGTTGAGATAAGCTGTTGTCTGGAGAGGAGGAGGCTGAGACGTGCTCCTGCTCCTGAATCTCACTCGGTCATATTAACTCCACATCCTGAAGCAGTAGTTTTCCCGTTAACAGTTCCCTTTCACCTTTTGTTTAGTAGAGATGGGAATTTCCTTGCCTGACAATCCTAATCACAAACCTAATGACATTTCCTGTGTGTGTTTGTGGGGAAGCTGGTCTGATGTGGTCAAAGCAGGAGGCAGAATAAAAACCAAAAGTGTCTTTGACCAGACAGTTTATTAAAACAGACTTCTGGTGTAACGTAAAGTCAATTCATTACAAATAACCTGTTCAAACAAACAGAAATTAAGTTTCTTAAATTAAATTAAATTAAATAAAAAGCAACAACATCATACACCATCTTCACACAAGTCTCTCCTTGACTGTCAACACCTGCTCACTTTTATACTCCAGCAGGAAGTACCTCCCCCAAGTGTCAGTTTGTTTACAGGTAACTTTCCAAAGTCTACAGCTAAAGCTCTTCTGTCCCCTTTTAAAATCAAAGTGTTTAACAAACTAAACAGTGTGTTGAAAATCAATTAAAAATCTAAAAAGGCTTTAAAAGTGTTCGACATGGGCACAGTGCCTCTTCTGTCTGGACCGTGTGGAGCTGCAGGTGAGTGATGTACAGTAGGGAGCATCATTTGCCCAACTTTTTGGAAAATTTTTGAAAATCAATCTGTACCTAGTATACATTTTTTACACTTGCCAAAGTAAACTTCTGTGAGAAATTTCATGAAATTCTCTTGATGTTTACTGGATCCACCAAGCCTCTGAAGTTTAGAACCTGTGGCCTTAAATCTGAGCTGAAACATCAGGTTTTAATAACATCCTTATTCTCTCAGGAAACTTGAGTTTCCAAACACTGAGCCGTACCTGTCACTGAGCCGTACCTGTCACTGGGACGCACCTGTCACTGGGACGCACCTGTCACTGAGCCGTACCTGTCACTGAGCCGTACCTGTCACTGGGACGCACCTGTCACTGAGCCGTACCTGTCACTGAGCCGTACCTGTCACTGGGACGCACCTGTCACTGAGCCGTACCTGTCACTGGGACGCACCTGTCACTGAGCTGTACCTGTCACTGAGCCGTACCTGTCACTGAGCCGTACCTGTCACTGAGCCGTACCTGTCACTGAGTTGTACCTGTCACTGGGACGCACCTGTCACTGAGCCGTACCTGTCACTGAGCCGTACCTGTCACTGGGACGCACCTGTCACTGAGCCGTACCTGTCACTGAGCCGTACCTGTCACTGAGCCGTACCTGTCACTGAGTTGTACCTGTCACTGGGACGCACCTGTCACTGAGCCGTACCTGTCACTGAGCCGTACCTGTCACTGGGACGCACCTGTCACTGAGCCGTACCTGTCACTGAGCCGTACCTGTCACTGAGTTGTACCTGTCACTGGGACGCACCTGTCACTGAGCCGTACCTGTCACTGAGCCGTACCTGTCACTGGGACGCACCTGTCACTGAGTTGTACCTGTCACTGAGTTGTACCTGTCACTGAGTTGTACCTGTCACTGGGACGCACCTGTCACTGAGCCGTACCTGTCACTGGGACGCACCTGTCACTGAGTCATACCTGTCACTGAGATGCACCTGTCACTGAGTCATACCTGTCATTGGGACGCACCTGTCACTGAGTTGTACCTGTCATTGAGATGCACCTGTCACTGAGATGCACCTGTCACTGAGTCATACCTGTCATTGAGACTCTCTGGTGATGTCACACTCACTTCCTCCACTTTTTTATACAGTCACTACAAAAAGAACAAACTTTATGTCTCTCATTTCATCTTTGGACTTTGTGGATTTTGGATAATTATTAAAAACACTCAAAATCTTGACAAAATGATCTTAGAAAGTTATGAAGATAGAGATATAAAATTGGTACCAAAAGATGTACAATAACAACATTTATGTTCCACTTTCATTGCCCAGATGGATTATTTTTCAAGTTATTTGAGTCGTTAGGATGGAACTTAAGAGACTTGGTGGACCCAGTAGATTTTATTCAATTGAGATAATATTCCACAGCTATTCTTTTGATTGGTATTGTCACATTTTAAAATTGGGTACGTTGAATTTCTGACATTGGGGCAAATGATGCAGCCTAATGTGCTGTAACTGAAATGAATTAACAAATAAAGTATATTTAAAACAAACAATGTGTTCTGTGATCATTAAACAAAACTCAGAACCATTCTAACTGTATTGGTAGGATATTGAGAAATTAACAAAATGTGTGAAATGAGACAAATTAGTATGAGTTTAAAATGGGACAAAGGCTCATTTTGTCACAGGAAACTGGAGGGACGCCACTGCCAGACAAGAACATTCCAGAGCATTATCCAGATGATTCTAGTGAAGAGGTAGGGAGTTAAAAATACAATAGAGCACTTCCTGGATTGCCACATCACAGATTGTTTTCATTTTGAGACAAGAACTCGGCCTGAACGTGCAGGGTTTGTGAGTTAAACATGTGTGAATGAAACAAAACACAACTCCAGGTCTGCTTGTGATGAGGAAACTTTACAACATAAACCATAAAATAGTGTAATATGTCTGAAGTCTGTTTACATTCACACCAGAAATCAGATCATGAGCTGACGTCTGGAGTTATCACATTACATCTGATGTGAGTACCATATTTTCCGCACTATTAGTCGCTCTGGATTATAAGACGCACTGTCATTGTCATGTTTGTTTGTGGCGTTCACGGTGACTCTGGGCTTTGTTCAGTTGTGGCGTGTAGGAAGGGTGCTGTCTGGGACCAACGGATTGTCGGCGTGTTCACAGTGACTCAGTTGTTCAGTTGTGTCTTTGTTCCTCTGTTCCGTTCCTTGTTGGCGTGGAGTGATGAGTGTGCCTGTGGGTGTTTTTGGCTGTGCAGTCACTGTCTGCTCCGTGTGTGTTGTGTGTTCTGCGGGTGGTGTGGCTTTGTAGTTTACTGAAGTCGTGCTGGGACACCCGAGTGGATTTGTGTATAGGGCGCTCTGGATTGTATGGCGCACAGTCATTTTTTGATGGGGTAGGAGGCTTAAGAGCGCGTCTAATAGCCCAGAAAATACGATAATAAGATTGATTCACTAGCAAGGACCACGGCAATAACGACAGAGAGCGAAGAAGAAGTTTACTGATAATGTACGAGGGGCGGAGATGGCGGGTTGAGACTCTGGGTGGGGGCTCCGGCTCAATGTCTTATGGCTGAAAGATGGACAAGATAGGGGGTGGGAGAGACCTTGGATGATGGGAAAGGCTTCTGTGAAATTCTAGGTGTGGTCGAAGTGAGTTGTGGTCAGCTGGTGAAGAGGAGAGGGAGGTTGGGGTGTGGTCCTGCTCCTGAATCTCAGTTAATCATATTAATAACAACACTTATTATGTGATTGATTATGCAAAAAAAAAGACAAATTATTAACTAAAGTGGCTCTTAAAGTTTTGCAGTATTCCAATTCTAACTGAACTGGTGCTTTTAGAGCTTTAACCTGCAGACACTGACTTACATTTTCAACATTTCAAGTGATGGTTTTGTTGTTTCTAATTCAGACCTGCTTTAGTCCCATAGTCTGTTAGTCCTTTTGGATGTATATGGTCTAGTGATTTTCATTTAGCTATGTTCAGACTGCAGGGCTTAATGCTCAGTTCAGATTTTTTGTGTGAAATCCTATGTTTTTGCGAGGTCATTCACATTTCCAGTTAAATGTGACTTGTATGTGATCTCCTGTGTGAACACTAAATGGCCCAAAAGTGTCCCGCATGTGCAATGAAGGACACGACGACGTCAACCGCAGCGAACGTGTTAAAGTTCCTCTCGGACTGGAGCCAGAACATGAACAACTTCCTTGTTTTAAGGAGGGGATTGAGAAGGAGAAGGACGAGGTTTTTGCTCGTGGTGTTTTGTGGGGCAGTGTCCGATGAAAGGAATGTGTGGATGTGGAGACGGAGCCAAGAGTGGTGGGACAGTGGGGCAAATACAGGTTTAACCCAGAGAACCTGATGGATGATGTGCTTCTCTTCTTGTGACACGGAGTTCATTAACAATTTTCATATGACGAGAAGAACATTTGTGTACATTTGTGTCTTGTTGATAACATGTAGGTGGATGAATGTGCTTTGGCCGTTCACACTGAAGTCACATGTCAAAAGATCAGATATGTATCGGTTTCAGGAGCACATATCCAAGTGTCCTGGGTCACATTCAGTGTTGGAGAGTAACAGATTACATGTACCGGAGTTACATAATCAGAGTACAAATTATGAGTAACTGTATTCAGTTACAGTTACTGTTTGAGTGAGTGGTAATTGGATTACAGTTACTTTGTTGAAATAACTGGATTACACAGCGATATTTTCCTGTTTTCACATTTTGGGCTAAACCAGGACTAAAACTAGGACTAAAACCAGGTCTAAACCAGGTTTAAACCAGGACTAAAACCAGGACTAAACCAGGACTAAACCAGGACTAAACCAGGACTAAAACCAGGACTAAAACCAAGACTAAACCAGGACTAAAACCAGGACTAAAACCAGGACTAAACCAGGACTAAAACCAGGACTAAAACCAGGACTAAACCAGGTCTAAACCAGAACTAAACCAGGGCCAATTTGAAGAGAACAAACAAGAATTTTCAGGATGTGGTTGTTACATTCATGTAGTTTTAAAAAACATGACAATATCAAGTAATCCAAAGTATTCAGATTACATTACTCACTTTAAGTAATTTAATGGATTATGTTACAAACTACATTTTGGGATATGTAATCTGTAATCTGTAGGGGAATATCTTTTAAAAGTAACCTTCCCAACACTGGTCGGATTTGAAAAAATTCTGATCTGTGTGGTTCATTAAAAGATCAGATACAGGTCACATAGGGGCCAAAAAAATCAGATTGGGGTCACTTCAGGCTGCAGTCTGATATTTAATTGCATTCCAGACCTGGTTTAGTGAGTGGATGTGCTGTTTCAGGGTGTGAAGTTTGTCTACAGTTATTTTTATAACGGATTATTGAACGACATAAAAACACAGTAGACAACATTTATCTGAGTTTTACCTTTCTCCCTGGGAGCAGATGTCCTCGGTCGTCCACTATGAAGCTCGTGTGTCCCAGTTTGGCTGAAGGTCTCTGCACACACACACACACACACACGCACACACACACATACGCACACACACACACGCACACACACACATACGCACACACACACATACGCACACACACACACACACACACACACACACACACACACACACACACACACACACACACACACACACACACACACACACACACACACACACACACACACACATCTATTGAATTCCAGGTGCTTTTATCGCTATAGTAAAACCTTGAAACACATGCATTCTTACTGCGAGCTGGGAAATTTCTCCACAGATCTGACCTGTAACTTCCCCTGATGCTGTGAACATGTACTAAGCTTCATTTCATTTCTGACGCTCTGGGTGCTCTCTGTGCTAAGTCACTTCTCCGTCAGAATGACGTTACAACACACTCAGCGCACATCCCTCTAATGAAGCTACTGCACATCACATCAGGTTTGTGAAATTGTAGTGTACTGTTTTTCATGATTGTGGTTTTATATATTTATGGAGAATTGAATCATAATAATAAGAAGGGTTTGAACAGGGCCTGGGAGAGATCGCTAAATGACTCAAACATGAATACATTACATCTGTCTAAAACTACTTAGACATGTTTCTGATGAGAAAACAACTTTATAACATGGTAGAATAAGAGTGGATTTTGTGTAATCCCCCATTTTATAATACCAGTGAAACAAAATGAATCTTATAGGCCAAACCTTACCTCTTTCCCTCTTTGCTTTGGCTGGCACCAGTTCTGAAGCCTCTGGGACTTGAAGGCATTTTCATACTATCACAGGAGACATGGAAAATACATAAATTACATTCATTAATTCACTTTATTTGATGCTCACACCTATATCTATGGTATGGACAATGTTGGGGAGTAACAGATTACATGTACCGGAGTTACGTAATCAGAGTCCATATTATGAGTAAATGTATTCAGTTACAGTTACTGTTTCCGTGAGTGGTAATTGGATTACAGTTACTTTGTTGAAATAAATGGATTACAGGGCGGTATTTTCCTGTTTTAACATTTTGGGCTAAACCAGGACTAAAACCAGGTCTAAACCAGGACTAATCGAGGACTAAATCAGGTCTAAACCAGGTCTAAATCAGGTCTAAACCAAGTCTAAACCAGGTCTAAACCAGGACACCTAACAGTAGGTGAACATAATTTCAGGCAGCAGTGATCTCATATAAAAATCATTTCTCTATCAATAATATTTTTTATATGATTAAGTAAAGACTGGGCTTTTTATCTTCTTTTATCAGATAAAACAAAACATATGTTATGTTCAGATTCTCGTCTGTGCTTCTCTACAGTAAAAAAAAGTCTGTTCATGGAGATGGGCTCAACAGACAATTTGAAGGAAACAAACAAGAATTTTCAGGATGTGGTTGCTACATTCATGTCGTTTTAAAAAGCATGACAATATCAAGTAATCCAAAGTATTCAGATTACGTTACTCACTTTAAGTAATTTAATGGATTACGTTACAAACTACATTGTGGGGGATGTAATCTGTAATCTGTAAGGGAATACATTTTAAAAGTCACCTTCCCAACACTGGGTATGGAGCACAAACTAGAGCTCTCAAAAGTATTGAAAATCAGATGAGTAGGTATCAATACTAAAAAGTTCCATTCAGAAACGAACCTTTCCTGAATGTCTTTATGATCTGGAGCTGTTTCAGAACAAGTATAAGAGACTAGTATATGCCCATGGACCACTATGGAACCTATGTTTTATTTTATATATGAATATATAAAAGAAAAAGAAAGTAAGTCAGGAGAGTGTGATTTGTTTTTTTTTTTTTTTGTTTTTTTTTATCATCGTGGTTTTGGAATCATTATTGAGTATCAAGTTGTGTTGAAATTTTAGTATTGTGACAACAGTAGCACAACTATAGGCCTTTTTACGTAACGGAACAAAGCAACACTATTTTAACAAGAAAAGAAGAACATTTTTAAAACATGTAAATATGCAATGCAAACATTATAAGGCTAAATTCATTTCTACCAATAAACGAAAGGTTCTAACTATATTTGAAGCTTTTTACCTGGTTGGCCGAGTATCTTGAAGACATGTTCACCTCCGTGCGCTGGACTCGTGTCTGTTTACTGTTGCTTAGTAACAGAGGGTCATCAAACACCGAAGCAATTTATATTTTAACATTTAAATACAATCTTATTTTGTAACTATTTTTCACCATAACTGATAAAATAATCGATTTTTCTTTATTCAATTTGAACGCCTTATTTAATTTTGCGTAAACAAAATAGCTGATACAAATAAATCAACATTGCAATAACTTTCTAAAAAAAAAAAAAAAAAAAAAAAAGACAGTGTAATGTATCATATTTAACTATATAACTCTTTAGACTATTCACATATTTAAAAATAATTAAATACGTAACCTGATTTTTTTTTTTTTTTTTTTTTTTTTTTGAACCGAAGTCGGACCGGAAGTATCGTTGTTGTGTTTCCGGTTAGCATCCGCGCTAGAGAATCCAACATATTTTGGCTTTTATTTGTGCATCTAACAATATTAATGCAGAGTTAAGATGTTTTTCGTTTCCGGCCATCTTCGTTGTTGGCTTTAATGTTTTAAACGATCCGATCTCTACTTTTTCGGTGAGTTTTTGTTGAGAAAGAAGTTTGAATGGATTCACTGCTGGCCAGCTGTTAGCTGCTCACATTATTTTCAGTTTATTTAACTGCAATAAAACCGACTGATGAACTCGTAACTCTAATACAGTTATACATTTGACACGTGATAGCATAAATAACTGAATATCCCTGAATGGCAACAATCAGTGCAGGACTTAACATTGCTTTAAATATTAATTACAGAGAATGCACAATTATGAACACATGAACCACTACCGTTTTAAAGCAATATGTGTCTATTTATAATTTGTATGTCTTTTTGCTTATTCTAATTTATCTAAAGTTAAATGATACACTATAATGCACTAAACTACTGAATATCATGTAGATGAAATATTGTGCATTTTAGGGGTAGGATTGAAATAAGTTATGCTTCTTCCTACTCCTCTTTTGAACACTGAATTTTTTAAAACATTTGTTCTCTTTATTTTGTTAGTTTCTATCTTTGTTAAATGTTCTGAGAGTATGGAGACTATATGCTGTGCCTTCATATCTTAAAATAAATAAATAAAATAATTTAAAACTAATTCACATTCCATCAAATTCAACAAAAACAATGCAAGACTACACTTGAGACTAATGCAAGACTAATAAGAGTGAGCTAAACCATTCAGAACTAAATCAGGAAAAAAAAAAGTGTAGCGCTCTGGTCTAAAACAAAATTGTATTTTTTTCTCAGTAGTGTTTAAACAAAAAAATAAACCATAACTAAACCTTACTCCTGACTCTGCTCAAAAGTCCTCTAAACGCAGAAACTGTTGTGCGTCTGAGACATGATCTGAAGGTGGCCTGTGTGTCATGATAGTCTTCTTATGACTTTAACCCAATGTTTATGTATAACCTCACCAACCTTACACTTGTCTCCTCTGCAGGACTGGTGGATCTCTGTGAAGCATGGCCTCCTCCTCATCCCTCAGCCTCTCCTCCTCCTCGTCCCGCAGATCAGACCAGAGCCAAGAGTCAGACCCGTCGCGAGATGTCAAGACTCACTTCAGAGTTTGCCGCTTCATCATGGAAGCGGGTACATGCCACACTATACAGTAGAGCTGTATCTTTGATCAGATTTTAATCAAATCAAGATTCAGTCATTTCTAATGTCCAGTGATTAGTGCGGGTCTTTTTTAAGAGAGACAGTAATCAGTTTGAAGTCATTTAATGGATATAAATGGTCGACAATGATCGAAATCCAACCCACAAATTGGCCTAAACATACGGACACCTCTGGGTAAAAAACAAAACAAACAAACATAAAAAAAACATTCATTGCTTTCTCTAGAGGAGTGCATAGGATCACTTACATATAGTAGATTGAGTATTTCACCTCATACAAAGAGCTCATGTTTTTACGATTACATTCTTTTGTACTTAAAGGTTGTATGGAGGATTTTTTTTTTGTTTCAAATTGTCAATGAAAGTTTAAAATACCATTACAGAGACGCAGCAGCCTTGTAATTATGATGACCAAAAAAAAAAAAAAGAATGAAAATCTATCAACTGTGGATGTAGTGAGGCCAGATAAACATCAGTCAATAGATAACAAGGCTACCTCATTTTCTATTGGCTGTTAGGTTGTCAATCAAACTCCCTGCGTTTCTACTGTAACTGACTCGCTGGCGCGCAGGGATTATGTGGCTTATGCTACGGTTCTTAGAGACTTTTTCTAACTGTCGCTCTAAGTTTGTTGCGATGGCGGACGAGAATCCACGACCAGTTTGCCACAAAAGAAAGTCTGTTTTTGAGGTCGCTGAAAGAAGAAGAGAAGGGGAAATGGAGCGAAGATAAACTGAGGTGATTCTTTCCAGCGATTGCGCGATTGAAGTAGACGACATGTTGGTCACTAAATTACTTCTAGACACGTCACTTCAACAGTAATTCTGAACACGCACCGGCTGTAAACAAGCATGATTTCTAGAGTAAGGAGGCGGGAGGAGGTGTTTCTACTGAGGAGCTTTGGAGGAGGAAGGTGGTGTCACGCATGCACAACATTTAAAAAAGGACTGTCGCTGTATTTCTTTTCCCTTAAAAAATCCTCTATACAACCTTTAATGCTTGGTTGTGTTCTCTTGTATTTCTGTTGTGCCTTTGAGCAGGGGTGAAGCTGGGTATGCGCTCGGTGCCCGTGGCCACAGCCTGCACTCTGTACCATCGCTTCTGCGCCCGCGTCGACATCAGCGCCTACGAGCCTTTCCTCGTCGCCATGAGCTGCATGTACTTAGCCGGGAAAGTGGAGGAGCAGCACCTGAGGACACGTGACATCATCAACGTCAGCCACAGGTACATGACATCTTTTGTCATTTTTTTATTGATTTATTATACATATATACAGTAATATACACTACTCACACATAAAGCAGACATTCAGATTCATTGAAAACAAACACAAACAAAAAGAAAATTAGAGAAAAAAGAAAGAATGTAAACATAACTTAAGATATTACAGTAAATCAAACCTAATAAGAGAAACTATCTGAAAAGAAAGAGGCATCAGCGACTGAATTGAGGGATGATCAGGTACGTGACATCATCAACGTTAGTCACAGGTACGTGACATCATCAACATCATTGGACAGAATAGGCTCTATTAGGGATGGGCATTTGATTAAATATTCTTAATCGATTGTCGGGAGAATTAACTATCAATTATCGATTAATCATTAACGTTTTTATATTAAAATTTATCATCATTATATCTGCACTAATAATCTGTATAAATAAATTCAACTTTATGACATATAAACCGTAACCACCCTAGAGCCATATCAGCCCATTTGAGATTATAAACTTTGCGCAACTCTCACAGAAACGAAACTTAAACTGCATGGCTAATTTGCATAAACTAAGCAAAGGGAAACAAAAAAAGGTCCGGTGCTGATGTGGTCAACTTCTGTCGGACCGAAGGACATGACTCAGTGAAATACAGGTTAGTGTGACCATATTTGTGTTTGTCAAAACCAGGACACCATACGGGGGGTGGGAGTTGGGGCCTCGTTATCGACATTGAGCGACTCTCACCTGGCAAAACTTTTTCATGTTTTCGGTGTCCTGGTGAACTTTTTTCCACTGGACACTGAAACATATGTTCCTGCTTTGTACACTGTTCACATGGACTCGCACTTGTCCCGACCAGAAAGGAAAGCGTGGAATTTCTTGTACAAGTCATCGTTAAATACACATTTGCGCTTCGGCATGTTGCAGACTGACCGACTGTTTGTGTCTCGCTCCTTCTGAGTGCAGAGAGCTACATGTACGGACCTGTTTGGTCACGCTACGCACAGCCACCTGCATTCGGTTTGTCCATGAAAATGAACGTAATCGATGAAATTCTTAATGATCAATTATCGATTAATCAACTAATCATGCCCATCCCTAGGCTCTATTCAGACTTACATCACAAACAGGAAGAGGTTTGGAAACATGCGATGACAACTTCCAGTGTATTTCCCGACTCTGGACTCACTGACCGACTCACTGATCAAACCCACTGAAGTAAATGTGATCAGCGGTAAAATGAAGACTGCAGACATATGTGCTGTTTGGAATCATCTGGAGTTTGACCCCTCTTCTAATCACATGTACCAGTGCACTCAGAGTTGTGTGCCAGTGGGGAAAGGATGAAAACTGAGGTTGGAATTGTTGATTCGCCGAATATAACAGAACACTACAATGACATGGAGATGAAGAAAACTGGGACATCCTCTCATTTTTCTACATCTGCATTTTATCAGACTTACTACTGCGAACAGAGCCCACTGGAAGTTGTCATCATGTTTCCAAACGTCTTCCTGGTTTGTGACGTAAGCATGAATAGAGAGTATCGCACGGTTAACTGTAACTGGGTTTGAACTGGGCCCAGGTGAGATCACTAGATTTCTCAAACATGCATGGATAACGTCTGAAATCTCTTCTGGTATGTTTTTGATGGAGAACAACATTATAACACGGTATAAACCCAAAAAGTCCGTATTGTATAATGCCCCCATAACAGACAGGCCAGTTTGTTGCTTATAAGTAACACTCAGCACCTTCATCCTTCACTAACACTTTAAAACACCACACATTTGAGAGCACATAACTCTTTAAACAGATTTGCACATATTACAAAAGACATTGCACATAATTGGTTTTAAAACTGTATTTATTGGCTTTCCTTATACTGCTTTTAATCCTCAGGCACAGTGGCAGAGGCACTTTAATAGACCTTTTTCACAACAGCCAGAAGTGCCGCGATGTAGGTAAACGGAACTTCTGGGTAATGCTTATGTTAGTTTTGTTCAGTGTGTCATTAACAGTGTTGGAAAGGTTACTTTTAAAACATATTCCCCTACAGATTACAGATTACATATCCCAAAATGTAGTTTGTTACATAATCCATTAAATTACTTAAAGTGAGTAATGTAATCTGAATACTTTGGATTACTTGATATTGTCATGCTTTTTAAAACTACATGAATGTAGCAACCACATCCTGAAAATTCTTGTTTGTTTTCTTCAAATTGTCTATTGAGCCCAAGTCTCCATGAACAGACTTTTGTTTTACTGTAGAGACAAAGACTAGAATCTTAACATAAGATGTTTTATCTGTTAAAAGAAAATAAAAAGTCCAGTCTTTCCTTTAACCAAATAAAAAATATTATTAATAGAGAAATTATTTTTATATGAGATCACTGCTGCCTTAAAGTATGTCCACCTACTGTTCGTGTCATACTGTTTAGACCTGGTTTAGTCCTGATTTATTTCTGGTTTAGGCCTGTTTTTAGTCCTGGTCTAGTCCTGGTTTAGTCCTAGTTTAGCCCAAAATGTGAAAACAGGAAAATACCGCCATGTAATCCATTTATTTCAACAAAGTAACTGTAATCCGATTACCACTCATTGAAACAGTAACTGTAACTGAATACAGTTACTCATAATTTGTACTCTGATTACGTAACTCCGGTACATGTAATCTGTTACTCTCCAACACTTCTCATTAATGCGTCGTTGTTGTTTCCTTTAAATTTTCATCTTTTTTCTCTTGATAGTTGTGGATAAATTGTTCGTGTTAGAATGTTTATCTTTTGTGGAGTTTGTGGGTTGAAGATTTGGTGATGGGGCAGATTTATAAAGCTGCTGGAAAATACGGCAGACATTTCCACAGATATTTTGTCATAGAAAAGCATTGACCGGAAGTTATGTTTACCGTACATCGTGGCACTTCCGGACGTTGTGAAGAAGGTCTTTTGACAGCTGCAGGGCCCTGGAGGAAAAGGAGACATTATTAATTAAACTTTTTATTAATTACCTTTTAAATTGTATAGTGCAGTAAATATGGTGCAGTGTATCTGTTTCAGTATGTTTTAACTGTTGATGTTTGTGTTAGTGTATTTAAGGTTCCAGGCTCGACCAAGTGGGGTAGTGGGATAGGTGTTTTATTGGTTTATGGGTTTTAGAGTTTACTTGGTGTATGGTTTGGGGGTTTTTATGTATATAGTTGGGATTTTAATAGTTATTTGGTTTTGGGTTGGTTCTATGGCGTATTAGGGCAATATTTGAAGCAAATTTTTACCATCTCTGTTATAGCTGTTGTAGTTTTACACAGTCAGTCAGAGCAGTTAAAAGGCGCCTCCAAACATCAGTCTGTGTTCTGCTGCTGGAGAGGAAACTGCTGCCTGCTGCCATATTACACCCTGCACTTTTTGCACCTGCACTTTTTTGTAACTATTGAAAAACAAAAAAAGTAAAACTGTGGACTACTGAACCCCAACTCGTTCACAGTCAGCCTGCGTCACAGCCTCTTCTTACACCGTATATACTGCACATGTTGCTTTATAGTTACAGGCCGAGGAGCAAGTTCAGATCAGAGTTTAGACCAGACTCCTGTCACGTGATGCTAAACCAGATTTTTGTGTCAGATATTTCCGCAGTGGCAGCGCTCCTCTGGAATGTGACCAGGACTTCTGGGACCTCAGGGACAGTGTGGTGCAGTGTGAGCTCCTCATCCTCCGACAACTCAACTTCCACGTGTCATTCCAACATCCGCACAAGGTACAGACGCTCAGTACTAAAGGACAGATATAAGGGTGCATTTTCTTCAGAGTTTTGAGCAGTGTAATAATGCAGTTTTCTCCTTCAAAAACATACCCGGAGTGATGGACAAATGAAGCCCCATGAACCATCTGAGGCTTTCAGGCAATTGTACTGGTACAGCAGTCCATGCCTCGCCAAGAGATGCAATATGTTCAACTACACCATCTTGTGGATAAAAAAATGTAACACATGTAAAAAGAGAAACCAAATGGAATCATGTTTCATTTAAAACATCACACTCAGTGGTTACATTTATCAAATAAAAAAGATCCTCAATTCTCTAATCTTCTTCTGCATCAAGTATTTATTTTAAGCACTATCCACATCAAACACACAAACACCTCAGAGAGAGAGAGACAGACAGACAGACAGACAGACAGACAGACAGACAGACAGAAAGAAATAAGAATTATAAACTGTCCCAGTGCCTATCTTCCTTCTTCTGATCTACTCTCTGAACCACTTCAGCAGTGGCATGATCCATGACATTTGCTTAAATAACACAAATATAATTTTGGAGCTGAAAGAATGTTGAACTGACTGTACATCTTATTCAGTGAAAAAAAAAACTAATACAAGAAAATACGTAGGTTACACAGCCATATTCTTTTAGCATTTAGCATTAGCATGTGAAAGTTAGAATAAAGTGAAAGTGAATTTTAAAAAAAGTAGTAACCTATGAAGTGTGCGTGTGCACGTAACACAGTAAATGAACCAATGACATTATCTTCACGAAAGTGAGGCCTCACATTCACAGGTCACGTGGTTTTTGGCAATCTGACCTTGAATCGGGGCTTCACTCGACACCCCCTTTTACTCGATACAAGCCTCGGTGCCTCGGCTTCAAATGACCCATCACTACATACCCGCAGTTGTGTTAAGCGTCATTCACACATGCTTTAGTGATCCTGCATTTTAAGACCTCTCCTGAGCACAAAATGCTAACCCTATCTTATGAAAGTTATCAGTGATGTTCTGCATCGTGTTTTTAAAGTCCATTCACCTTCAATTTGTGTTTTTGCCACACAAAATTATCAAACAGTAAGATGTCTATCTCATATCAGCCTTCTTTTACTACCAAGGAGCCAGTAGGAGCCAGTTTTATTCTCTATCCACTTCTTCAGTAGATGGAGACGAACATCTATTCAAAGTGCTTTGTACATAAAACTGACATTTTTAACTCTTTCCCCATGAAGACGACATTTGATGACCCCATTGTTTCCTTAATGACGTGTTTTGACACCTCCGCTGTTTCACTAAAGACGTGATTTGACGACCATAAGAAACAGTTCCTGTTTTTCACATGTAAACAGAGACTGCAGTAGGTGGGGGCCACTATAATTCATACTAGGCTGACCAGTAGGATTCAAGGATATGTTTTCGTCAGTTTTTTACAAAGTTAATCGAAGTAGTGACGATTGTAGCTTCCGGAAATGAGGAGCGGATATGGATAACTTTGGAGAAAGTGATTTTTATACTGTTTCTGGTGATATGAAATCTGTTTAAACCCTTTGACAAACTTTTTTTTTTCTTTTAAATGAATGTAGTACTCATGCAAATATCAGATGCTGAATGTAGTTTTTTGTTTTCGATGTTGCAGCTGACCAGGTAAACTCTCATTTTCAGTGAGCTGTTATAAACCTGTAAATGAGTTGAATCACATTTAAACATTCATAAATGAAGAGTTCAGAGTCTAAGGTTTCTAGAAATACCAAATACATCTGTGTTTCAATAAAGTTTGTGAGTGTGAAAATAATTTATAATCACTGGTAAAAGTCTGTTTTCTTTTATGCCCCAGTAATCCATGTATGGGTTGTTCCTAGTCGACGTCCAAGGGGGAAATAGTTAAAGCTTTAAACTTAGTAACTGTTTACCTTTTATGAATTGTCTTTTTTAGGTGTTTAGTGTGCTTTTGGATGTGGTTATACTGCTTTATTTCAATACAAAAAGAAAAATAGACCAATAGAAATGTGTTAATCATTTCAAAAATATCAAAAAGTTGTTCTTTATTAGAGTAACTTGTCTGTTTTTGCTCCAGTTCCTCCTGCACTACCTGCTGTCTGTGCGCGCGCTGCTCAACCGTCACGCCTGGGCTCGCTCTCCCGTTGCCGAGGTGTCGTGGGCCCTCCTCCGAGACTGTTACCACGGCGACATGTGCATCCGCCACGCCCCTCAGCACATGGCGATTGCGGCCATCTACCTCGCCCTCCACAGCTACGGCGTGGAACTGCCCAGAGGAGACAGGGAGTGGTGGGAGGTGCGTGAGCTGTACACAGAAGGATTATCTTAAAACTGTGCTCACAGTTTCACTCTTTACACGAGTCACAGATTTAGAGATGTATGTAGTGCAGTAACATCACGCTGGGGGTGTTCTGCATGTATGTTTATGGTGGAATGTTTAGCAGTCACTATGGTAACACAATCCACACATTAGCAAACAGTCCAAAAAGATTAAGATGGGGTCAAAACTCAAGAAAAAAAAAAAAAAAAAAGATTTGAAGAGCACATTTTCCAGAGCCTGTGATCAATACAAGTGTTCATGATTATCAGTACAAACATTTGCTCTTCTGAGGGTCCACAATGTGAAAAGTTTGTAGCGTTGCCTCTCAGACACACATAACCTCAGTGCACGCACGCTACATGGGAATAGTCGACCCTCTCAGCAGAATCTCATGATAAATACTCCAGGATAAAACATGTTCAGACGTCCTGATAGAGGCTGAAGTCTTTAGTGTTTGTGCTGCTCTAAAGCACACACTGAAGCCTCCTGTCTGTGAGCGGTGACAGGAGCAGGGCCCTGTCAGAGCCGTCCCTCGTGGCTCAAAAAAATGTGTATTTGTTTCTACAGATTTGTGTGTTTAATATTGTCTGAAACTGTAGTTCTGATTTAGTTTTGTTCCTGTTTTGTGCAGGTGCTGTGTTCAGACGTGACCAGGGCCCAAATCGATGCTGTGATTTCAGATCTGCTGCAGCTCTACGACCTGGAGGCAAAATGTCTCTGAGCCTCTAGAAAAAAACAGACCTGCCCTTCATCCACCAGAGAGCAGAGTGGGTGAAACAGATGAAAACTAGATATAAACCAGAGCTACCCTTCACTACAGTACCGCTGCAGCCAGGAGGAGCCAGCAGGGGGCAGAGCAGACACTCATCTCCAGACTCAGAGACAACGTGCAAATTCCACACAGAAAGCCCTGGGTGACCCGGGAATCGAACCCGGAACCTTCTTGCTGTGAGGGAGAGTGCCTAACAAATAAAGGCATTTACTCAAAATAACATGCACCTTGATTTAAAGAGGCCCACCTCTCCACAGAAATGACTTGTAAAGTTTCTGGTGAAGAGTCTGTTGGAGAATGGAACTTTAACTTCTTAGGTTCTTTTTAAAGACAATGCAGAAGATGGCTTGCAGCTAGCAGCCGAAACATGTCAACAAGGTAAATACACTTTACTGCATTGTCTTTAAAAAGAACCCAAGAAGTTAAAGTATATAAGAAGACATAATGAACATCATTGGCTTAAGGAGAATGGAGCTGCTGTTCAGTGGGACAGTGTAGCAGTTCCACTCTCTGCCACAAGAAGGAGACATTTCTTTCTTTTTTAGAAGAGGAGTTCTCTGCTCTGGAAATGTCACCGACCTCATGGACGAGGAGTTACAATCACACTGGGGTAAAGAGGACTTTAATGTCCCTGTAGGACATGTCTCTGCATTTGACCCGTCCTTCAGTGTCTTTAGGTAAAATCAGAGATTGTATTTATAAATGGACATAGAGTAGCTGATGTAGCTGCTGCATTCCACATAAGAAGTGAACATGGATGTGCTTCTGTGACTCTTCAGTGACTCCAGACACAAGCAGAACATTCAGTCTCCACACTTTTGGGAATCACACCCAGGACGTGCAGTGTTAGAGATGCTCACGCTGTTTCAAAATGGACTCTGGCCGACAGAATAATGACTTGAGTTAGAAGTTGGCTTAATCTTTTAATAATGTGCCTCATTTTGTGTCATTTGTGTCATATTGATGTTTGTGTGAAATAAACATGATTTGTTATTTGTTCTAGTTGTTGTGCTTTGACATTTTAGACCCAAATAAACAGCTGACTACTGCAGAGAGGCATGGACTAAACCAGGACTACACCAGGACTGAGTCAAGACTAAACCAATGACTGAAACAGGGACTAAATCAGGACTATCTACATTTGGTTATTTTAGATAATTTTGTAGATTTTCCTGTTTGAAATATTTCCCTTTCCCTGAGACCAACAGTTAAACATGACCAGACCTGATATTGATTCAACTCTCTCCTGAGTGTTTTATTTTGACTCTCAGTAAAATCTCACATTTGTTCCGTGTCTCTTAGCTGCCCCGTACATTTATTCCCATGAATGTCTCCTCCATTTTGTCTTGTGTTTAGTGTATCCAGAGAGAGAGATTTCCCATGATGCAGTGTGACAGTCTCTGTTTCCTCCGCTCTGGGCTTCCTCCTCTCACCACCAAACTCCAAACTCACATCCGCAAAACACTTTCATCATTTTCCATCCGTCTACAAAAATGTTGCGTTGATGTGATTAGTAGTGTTGAAGTCAAGACCAAACTAATCAAGACCAAGACCAGCCCGAGACCAGGACAAGACCAAGACCGAGACCAGGACAAGACCAAGACCAAGACCAGCCCGAGACCAGGACAAGACCAAGACCAAGACCAGCCCGAGACCAGGACAAGACCAAGACCGAGACCAGCCCGAGACCAGCCCGAGACCAGGACAAGACCAAGACCAAGACCAGCCCGAGACCAGGACAGGACCAAGACCAAGACCAGCCCGAGACCAGGACAGGACCAAGACCAAGACAAGACCGAGACCAGGACAGGACCAAGACCAAGACAAGACCGAGACCAAATCAAGACCATCTTTGTCATTTTCAGCTTTTATTTGTATTTTCCTGTTATTTTGGGACATATCAATGTTTTTATAAATCTATCTCCATTCGTTGAGTGTCAGACCTCGAGACTGAGATGAGACCGAGTCCAAGCATCTTCAAGACCAAAACAAGACCACGTCCAAACGCGATCGAGTCCAAGACAAGACCAAGATTGTAAAAAAAAACTCGAGGACTGAAGAGTGATCTGGAGTACTGATCTGGAGTACTATGACACTAGTTATCAGATTCTTTTTTCAGACCAAGATATGGAGACCAGACGTTTCTATTTCCCTGGGACAGTCCCAGTGTCCCCTGTCCCAGCAGATTTATACAAAACCATTGATTTGTCCCAGTTTTATACAAGAAATGTCCCAGATGTCCCTATTTTTGACCAATCTGATCCATGCCAACAGTAAAGAGAGACATACACTGACATTTGTTTTGGTAAAATATAGAAAAGCTGCTTAAAAATAACAAAAACACAAAGAAAATGTGTAGTCATGTTTGCTCCGTCCCAGTCCAGAATGTTCTTCTCTCTTTTACAGTGTCACACACGGACTTGAGTTACTCAAATAACAGAAGAATTAGTTAGTAGCTGGTTTAATGTTTTATAATGCGCAACATTTTGTGCACTGTCATTTGTGTTGTGTTTGTGTTTGTGTTGGTTCTAGTTTTTGTGCTTTGACATTTTAGACGTGTTTGTACGTTTGAAATTAAACTGTACGAATGTTTGAAACTGTCCATTTTTTGACCCCAAGAATCAGCTACTGCAGTGAGGCTAAAGGACTAAACCAGGACTAAACCAGGACTAAACCAGGGCTAAACCAGGGCTAAACCAGGGCTAAACCAGGACTAAACCAGGACTAAACCAGGGCTAAACCAGGGCTAAACCAGGGCTAAACCAGGACTAAACCAGGGCTAAACCAGGACTAAACCAGGACTAAACCAGGACTAAACCAGGGCTAAACCAGGACTAAACCAGGACTAAACCAGGGCTAAACCAGGACTAAACCAGGACTAAACTAGGACTAAACCAGGACTAAACTAGGACTAAACCAGGACTAAACCAGGACTAATCTAGGAGTAAATTGAGACTAAACCATTTTTTTTTTTTTTTAAATCTCTGTTCTAATGTCGTTTCCTCGTCACAAACAGACCTGGAGTTGTGTTTTGTTTCATTCACATGTGTAACACACAAACCTGCACATTTAGGCTGACTTCTTCTTTCAAACTGAAAACACGCTGTTCCACCTTGTGATGTCATCATGTGGGGATACAGGAAGTGCTCCAGTGTGTTTTTAAACTCCTCACACCGTCACATATTGTTTGGAGGATTTCAGCCCTGGAATTGCAAATCTCGACTGAACTAAAAGGTAAATCTCCCCCTCTCCCTCATCCCTTCCCCCTTCTCTCCTTTCTCTACCTCTCTCCCTTCTCCTCTTCTTCCTCCCTTCTCCCTCCTTCTCTTCTTCCTCTCTCACCCTCTCCTCCCTCCTTCTCTTCTTCCTCCCTCCTCCTCTTCTTCCTCTCTCCTCTCCTCTGTCCTCCTCTTCTTCCTCTCTCCTCCTCTCCTCCCTCCTCCTCTTCTTCCTCTCTCCTCCTCTCCTCCCTCCTCCTCTTCTTCCTCTCTCCTCCTCTCTTCCTTCCTCCTCTCCTTCCTCTCTCCTCCTCTCTTCCCTCCTCCTCTCCTTCCTCTCTCCTCTCCTCCTCCCTCCTCTTCTTCCTCCTCTCCTCTCCTCCCTCCTCCTCTTCTTCCTCCTCTCCTCCCTCCTCCTCTTCTTCCTCTTATTCCTCCTCTTCTCCCTCCTCCTCTTCTTCCTCTCTCCTCTCCTCTCCTCCTCTCTTCCTCCTCTCCTCTCCTCCTCTTCTTCCTCTTATTCATTCCTCTTCTCCTCCTCCTCTTCTTCCTCTCTCCTCTCCTCCCTCCTCCTCCTCTTCCTCTCTCTCTCCTCCTCCTCCTCTTCTTCCTCCCTCCTCCTCTTCTTCCTCTCTCCTCTCCTCTCTCCTCCTCTTCTCTCCTCCCTCCTCTCCTCCCTCCTCCTCTTCTTCCTCCCTTCTCTCCTCACTCCTCCTCTTCTTCCTCTCTCCTCTCCTCCCTCCTCCTCTTCTTCCTCCTCTCCTCCCTCCTCCTCTTCTTCCTCTTCTTCTTCCTCTTCTCCCTCCTCCTCTTCTTCCTCTCTCCTCTCCTCTTTCCACCTCTTCTTCCTCCCTCCTCTCCTCCCTCCTCCTCTTCTTCCTCTCTCCTCCTCTTCTTCCTCTCTCCTCTCCTCCTCCTCCTCTTCTTCCTCTCTCCTCTCCTCCCTCCTCCTCTTCTTCCTCTCTCCTCCTCTCCTCCCTCCTCCTCTTCTTCCTCCCTCCTCCTCTTCTTCCTCTCTCCTCTCCTCTCTCCTCCTCTTCTCTCCTCCCTCCTCTCCTCCCTCCTCCTCTTCTTCCTCCCTTCTCTCCTCACTCCTCCTCTTCTTCCTCTCTCCTCTCCTCCCTCCTCCTCTTCTTCCTCCTCTCCTCCTCTCCTCCTCTTCTTCCTCTTCTTCTTCCTCTTCTCCCTCCTCCTCTTCTTCCTCTCTCCTCTCCTCTTTCCACCTCTTCTTCCTCCCTCCTCTCCTCCCTCCTCCTCTTCTTCCTCTCTCCTCCTCTCTCTCTCTCCTCTCCTCCTCCTCTCTCTTCCTCTCTCCTCTCTCCTCCTCTTCTTCCTCTCTCCTCCTCTCCTCCCTCCTCCTCTTCTTCCTCCCTCCTCTCCTCCTCCTCCTCTTCTTCCTCCTCCTCTCCTCACTCCTCTCTCTTCCTCTCTCCTCTCCTCCCTCCTCCTCTTCTTCCTCCTCTCCTCCCTCCTCCTCTTCTTCCTCTCTCCTCTCCCTCTTTCCACCTCTTCTTCCTCCCTCCTCTCCTCCCTCCTCCTCTTCTTCCTCTCTCCTCTCTCCTCCTCTTCTTCCTCTCTCCTCTCCTCCCTCCTCCTCTTCTTCCTCTCTCCTTCTCTCCTCCCTCCTCCTCTTCTTCCTCTCTCCTCTCCTCCTCCCTCCTCCTCTTCTTCCTCTCTCCTCTCCTCCTCTTCTTCTTCCTCTCTTCTCTCGTCCTCTCCTCCTCTTCTTCCTCTCTCCTCTCCTCTCTTCTCTCCTCCCCTCCTCCTCTTCTTCCTCTCTTCTCTCCTCCTCTCCTCCTCTTCTTCTTCCTCCCTCCTCTCCTCCTCTTCTTCCTCCCTCCTCTCCTCCCTCCTCCTCTCCTCCTCTTTTTCCTCCCTCCTCTCCTCCCTCCTCCTCTTCTTTCTGTCTCCTCTCCTCCCTCCTCCTCTCCTCCTCTCTCTTCCTCTGTCATCCTCTATCTCCCTTTCTCTTCATCTCCCTCGCTCCTTCATCATCTCCTCTCTCTCTGTCTCTCGCTGAAGTTGTGTCTCACTCCTCTTCTCCCTCTCCATCCCTCTCTCCTCTTCTCTCCATCTTCTTCCCTCCTCCTCCTCCTCCTCCTCCCTCCCCTTCTCTACCTCTACCTCCCTCTTTCTGTCTCTGTTATGTTGCATGTCCATCCTCCTTCTCCTTTTCCCTCCATCTCTCTTCCTCTGTTTCTCTTTTCTCTACTCCTCCTCTCCGTCTCTCCTCTCTCTCTCCCCATCTGTCCTTTAAACTCCTTCCTCCCCCTCTCCTCTCTATCTATCTTTCCTTCTCTTTCGCTCTCTCTCTCCCTCCCTCTTTCTGTCTCCTCTCTACGCTCCCTCCCTCCTTCTCTCCCTCTTCTGTGTGCTCCCTCTCTCCATAATGTTGTGTTAATAATGCAGAGCAGCGTGTTCAGCCACGGCCATGAATTAACCAACAGAACGGAGAGACGGAGAGAAAGAAAGAGAAGAAGAGAGAGAGACGGAGAGAAAGAAAGAGAGAAGAAGAGAGAGACGGAGAGAAAGAAAGAGAAGAAGAGAGAGAGACGGAGAGAAAGAAAGAGAAGAAGAGAGAGAGACGGAGAGAAAGAAAGAGAAGAAGAGAGAGAGAGGAGAGAAAGAAAGAGAAGAAGAGAGAGAGAGACGGAGAGAAAGAAAGAGAAGAAGAGAGAGACGGAGAGAGAGAAAGAGATGAAGAGAGAGACGGAGAGAGAGAGAAAGAGAAGAAGAGAGAGAGACGGAGAGAAAGAAAGAGAAGAAGAGAGAGACGGAGAGAGA